AGTTCTACCTGTTCTTGTACTAGAGTTTGAGCAGCAGCAAGCTTTTCCGAGGGCAGTGGCCACTGAGGCACCCATACTGGATCCCCCGTCTTCCAAACTATGGGAATGCCCACCCCAGTGGCCGCTATGAAAAACCCAGTCCCTGTTTGTCTAACTTTTGTTTTACTTGGATGGACTCTTTATTGCCTTGTAGAAATTTCCCTAGGCCAAAGCCAGGATGATACCCCATGCGAGTCATCATATCTTGGGAAACAGCTGAACATGCATTGCTCAGAGTAAACCCCATCTCTTTTAACAGATCTCTTCCCCACAATGATACTGGCAGCTCTAGCACATAAGGCTGAATAGTGCCTGAGTGGCCTTCATCGTCCTTCCAGGAGAGTTGTCTTGCACTCATTTCAGGAGTTTTTGCGTATCCTAGGCCTTGCAATACTTGAGGAGAGGTCTGTATAGGCCATCCCAACGGCCAATCCTTTTTTGCAATTATACTTTTATCTGCCCCAGTATCTAGAAGACCTAATATCTTTTTATTGTCTATTTTTAGTTCTAGCACTGGTCTTTGGTCTAAATCAAGAGATATAAATGTCAGATCTACTCCTGTGGATCCGAAACCCTTTTCTGCCCTAGTCTGTTGCTGCGCTTCAAAATGCTCATGGAGGCTAGGTAAAATAAGCAGCTGTGCAATGCGGTCACCAGGAGATATGGCAAAAATTCCTTTTGGTGACTCAACCATGATTTTAATAGTTCCAGTATAATCAGGGTCTATTACTCCAGGGTGTATTTTAAGACCCCGTAGAGTGACAGACGACCTGCCCAAAAGCAACCCTACTGTTCCTGGTTCTAAGGGTCCTTTGAAATCTGTATCCACTAACTGAACGCCCATTTGGGGGGTTAGTACGAGTCTGGTGGTGGCGCGGAGGTCCAGTCCTGCGGAGCCCGCAGTGGCTCTCCGCGGTTCTGTGGGTGCTGTAATGTCGGCCACTGTTTCAGTTTTGATTGTCCTTGCTCCACTGCCCCATATATTTGTGGGCCCTGGGGACGAGGGCCCCGCTTCCCGTTTGTTGTCTGCTCTAGGGGTTGGCCGTTGATGTCCTTAACGGATCTGCATTCATTTGCCCAATGCTTCCCCTTTTTGCAGCAAGGACAGAGGCCAGGCTGTTTTTGTGGTCCCGGGAGCTTGCTACCTCTCTCTCCTCTATGGGGACAATTGCGCTTCATATGTCCATCTTTCCCACAGTGATAGCACGCCCCTGTCCTTCCTCCCTTTTTGTGTGTTAACTGCAAGACTGCAGCAGCTAATCCGGCATTGGTTAAAGGCCCTCCAAGTTCTCTGCAAATTTTCATCCAAGCCTCCAATCCCCGATTTTTGTAAGGGGTAATGGCAGACCTACACTCTTTAGTGCATTGCTCAAATACTAGTTGTTTAATTAGGGGCATTGCAGCATCAGGATTCCCAAAGATTCTTCCTGCTGCCTCAACCATCCTTGCTACAAAGTCCGAGAAGGGTTCAGTAGACCCCTGTATAATTTTTGTTAAGTTCCCACTTACTTCTCCTTTATTAGGCAAGGCTTTCCATGCTTTAATCCCTATCTTGTTAATCTGTTGATATACTTCTACTGGATATCCTATCTGTTGGTTGGCAAACCTTCCTATACCTAGAAGCATGTCTCTATCCCAAGCAGGATTGCCAGCAGCTTGGTTTGCTGCGGCTTCTTCATTTGCAAATTCAACTAAATAAGCTTTCCAATCTAAGTATTGTCCAGGGCTCAAGCAGGATTTCACGAGACTAGCCCAGTCTCCGGGGGTCATACAATGCCTTTCTAATGCCTCGACTTGTACAACAGTAAAGGATGCAGTTACTCCGTACGTACGTACGGACTCAGCTAGAGACTTAATCACCTTGAAGTCTAAAGGCTCATGGTATCTCTGCTGATTGGCGTCCTGGAATATAGGAAAAGCCTGGCGTAACTCATTCCTCGCCGTTCTCCATGCCTCCGGGTTAAAAGACCAGCCTGATGCACCACCTCCTTCATTGTAAAGTGGGGGGCCGGCGGGCGCTGTGAGACTCTTAGGAGTCCCACAGCAACACTCTTTACATTCTCCTTGCCTGAATCTCCCCTCCTTCCCTTTCATAGCTATCTTTGTCTGTCCTGACTGCTCTGTGAGGGCCTGCAGTTCCTCCGAGTCTGAGTTTCCAAGGGATTCTAACTCCGTGAGATCAGGATACAGCCTCTGCCTGGGCCTTTTTACGGCACCGCTAGCTGGGCTGCTTCTTTCGGACCTCGCCTCTTGCAGTCTCTCTAGAGCTGCCTGCCCGTTCTCAACCACTTCACTGCATCGCTGGTCTTCTAGGCAGCTCCGTATCAACTTCCAAATAGGCCTCACCCCACTCCTAAGCGTTCCTAGCTCATGCGCAAAATCTAAATCCCATCCTAACTTCTCCCCTGAGGCCACTGTAAGACTCCCTGAAACTGCAAACCACGGTGCTACAGTATCACATTTATCCAAAAATCTCTCTAGGACATGTCCTTTTAATTTTAGATTTTTAGAGTGTAGTAGCTCCTTAAGAGCCAACAAAATTGGGTGCGAGGAAGAAGCGCCCATATTTCTCAAATAATCTTTTACTTTAGCTTTTAGCTAGTAAATAAACTAGCCCTGGATTGCCGCTCTCTCTTTGTCTGCTGAGATGAGCCAAAATCCCTCCCGCTTTTATCGCGGATCCCCTCTTACCTGGGGACTTACCGGTGCACCCCCTGACCGCTGAAAGTTCTGAATCCCGTCGAGCCCCACGTTGGGAGCCACTTGTCGCGACCGCCTCGACCCGCAAGGATGACGCGACAACAGGTTCTTCTTTCAGGCGGTTTATTCAGGACCTTTTACAACATCTTCTCTTCTCCCGCTTGCTTCTGCCCGCTTCTTCCCACGTCTCCTTCCCCTCCGCCCCCCCCCTCTGGTTATAAGCCTCCTGGATGGCCAATCCCGAAGCACCACGTGGCATATACCGATAGGGCTGCAAACACGGAAGCAAGCCAGTAGCCAAGCCATAGCCATATAAGGAGTTGTTTTTTCATAGAGAGCACTCGCCATCGGGAAGGCGGGAGCCAGCGCCATCTTTGGTCGCAGCCGCGCCATTTTTGCGGCCGCACCTTACAGCCGCGCCGTCTTTGGTCGCTGCTCCCGCAGCTCTCCACAGTTTTGGTCTAGTTTTACCAGATTCTAATGGGTATTCTGGGTCCTTTCGAAAGATGCTGTTTTGGACAACTGTGTTGAGAGTTTGTAGCAGATTTTCAATGTGAAATATTGTCTTAGCAAATCTTTGCTGCTCTACAGTTACACTTTGCCTAGGCCAAGTTTATTATTAAAATTGTAAAGCGATGGAGTTATGTAATTTAAGTGAGCTTTCTTGATTGAAAAATACTATGCAATTCTAACAAAAATTAACATGATGTCTTTCTAAGATACTGGGGAAAAAGTATAACAATAAATTCTGTGCCATCCTCTTCCACTGTTAAAAAGAGCTTATGATTTATTACTGATAATACCACTCATTAGAAAGATTACACAACTTTCTAGGCCAAGAATATGAAATGCTCTATAATGTCTTATACAAAGACAATTTTATTAGTGAAAAGTTCACAAGGTTCTTGTATACAAAGTTATCTGTTTACAAATGTGGAAAAGTTAATATTTAAAACATTTCCATACAGTACATGATATTTTTAAACTTTAACTGAGTGTTAAATAGACAAAAAATCTGAAAATTTTGTTCAAGAAATAATACTTAATGAGAAAGAAAACTAACTTTAAAGTACAAAATACATTTTGCTTATTAGGACTAAATTTTCCCCATTTTGATTGGCACTAATATTGTTAATACATTTTTATTTTTTTTTTTTTTGGGTCCAGTCGTGGGGCCTGAACTCTGGGCCTGAGCGCTGTCCCTCAGCTCTTCAGCTCAAGGCTAGCGCTCTACCACTTGAGCCACAGCGCTACTTCCGGCTTTTTTTTTCTTTTTGCTGTGGTACTTGAAAGAAATGTGTCTTTTGATGTGGCATGCCCTTAAAGTTTAAATGGATTATATTGGTTGGTAGTATTGCTAGAGCCACCTACATTCTTCCTGGGTTTCCATCTAGTTGTTCTTGAAATTCTTTTTGGTTAGTCGTGAGGCCTGAACTCTGGGCCTGGGCACTGTCCCTCAGCAATTCAGCTCAAGGCTAGTGCCTTGAGCTAGTGCTTTTTCTACTTATGTGGTACTGAGGAATCGAACCCAGGGCCTCATGCATGCAAGGCAAGCACTCTACCACTGAGCCACCTTCCCAGCCCAAAAGTCTATGAGATTCTTTTTTGGGGGGAGGAGGGGGTCCAGTTGTGGGGCCTGAACTCTGGGCCTGGGCGCTGTCCCTCAGCTCTTCAGCTCAAAGCTAGCACTCTACCACTATGAGCCACAGCGCCACTTCCGGCTTTTTTTTTTCTTATGTGGTGCTGAGGAATGGAACCCAGGGCCTCATGCATGCAAGGCAAGCACTCTACCACTGAGCCACCTTCCCAGCCCCTGTTAATACATTTTTGAATGTTCAATTACAGAAATAAATTCTGTATAATGTCTGAAAAAGATACTTCACCATATAAGTATTTATAGAATTCTGAAGTTAAAAAACTACACAAAGTTTACAAAAGGGAAAAGTACAAGAAATTGTGACTGGAAATGCTCATTGTGAGTGTTCAAAAACTTTAAAAAGGGTAATCAATTGCACTTGGCTTAATTTATAAAAGATTAACATTTCATCTACTTATCCTCAGGACGTGTGGTATAAAATGTGCGAGGATCAGGGAGCAGCCTGGACAATCAACCCTGGCCACTCCTCCAGTAAGCACCGTTATTTGAGCTGCAGGACAGATCTGTGAAATTTCTAAAACCAGACTAAATAAAATTTACATAGGTTAAGATGGCAAGGTAGAAGTGGTTTCTAACAGTTGAATGCTTATCACAAACCTTTTGGTGCATCAACTATTTGTTTATATTATTAAAGAATACACTTTAGAAATCCAGTGTAAAAGCTACAGAAGCAGTGCTAAAATATCAATAAAAATAAAAATATTTGAATCAATTTTCCAGGATTTCCAATAAATTCAAATCCATTTAAGATTATTTGTAAATGTATATCTGGTATAGCACTAAGTTTTAAATAGTTCTACAAAGAAAAATTATGACTTTATATCCAAAAAGTGAAATAATATGTATCTTAAAATAATCTCTAACAAGGGTAGAATCTTCATGAATAGAAAAGAAGACTCCTTAACTCCCTTCTCCCACACAATTTAAAAATATTATTAACCTGAACATTTCTGTTTTCTGGTATACTGTTGTCATTAGCCTTTGTCAAAATAAATTGTATTATTGTTGAAGTCTGTTTTCATTTGCTTGTTTTCCAGCTTAACAGTAGATAATGCAGCGTTAAGTGCAAAAGAACAGAGATTTTTCTTTTTTTCAGTCCTGGGAATTGAACCCAAAACCTTGAGCCTGCTAGGCAGGTGCTCTACCACTGAGCTACATCCCTAGCTGACAGTGATTCTCGTAAGGCAGTGCATTGGTCAGGTCCAGTGTAACATGAATTTGTTTCTAGGTTTTCAAGTATCGGAATGACTGCCAGCACCCTGTTCTTTTCTCACCCCGGAAGCTGAGTGAACAAGCAGTGATGTGGAACCCCTGAGGCTGCTCGGCTCTGAAGAACTGGGAACTTGCACACTGTTGCTCTGCACCAGGCCACTCTCAGTAACGTCATTCTTTGGACTTAGCCTGGACAAAAGAAAAGAAGTTGACAGACATGGACACATGCACTTACATATACACACACACCTACATACCTACATACATGCACACATATATACATACATATCTAAGCACAAATACAATGCCAACCATCCTTATAGCTGCTTCTCATTTGCCATGAGTTTTTTCTTCTGCCAGTATCAACCTTTAGGAGGAACTAATCCATAAAAACTTAGTATATTCTATCACTTCAAAATAAAAATCCTGCCTTCAAATACAAATCTTGTTTTCCTACCACACATAAGATACCATGTAAGAAGATGGTAAGACTAAGGTGAATAAGACCTCAGTTCTGCCTTTAAGGAGCTTTTCAATCTAGTGGAGGATAAAAGCATGTATGTAGTTACAATGTGATCATATGAAAGCTGTCATGGACACAGAGAGAAGGTCAGTTAGTCCCATCTGAGAGCCAGGTAGTTAGCTATCAGAATGCTAACTAATTCAATGCTTACCTGTGTTCTGATCACCTATGGAAATCTGGGAAAATTCATTAAGGATGTCAATATCTTTCCATGTTCAGAAAATAAAACATCTTAGTTATAATCATCCCCATGTAAAACGACAGCTCCGAGACAGTAATGTAATCTAGAATTTCTCCTAGTTTTTTGTAAGGAGGGGCACAGAGTCTTATGTATATAGTCTAGTCCAGGCTGGCCTTGAATTCAGCCCACAATGGATTCAAACTAGATCCTCCCACCTCTCCTTCCAAATGTTGGGATCACAGTGTAATCCCACTCTGATATAATGCAGTATTAACAAAAACAACCTGGAAGATGAGTTGTAAATATTCACCTAAATATATAAGTAACTCTTAACAATTTACCATAAAAAATAAAAATCACTTTCCCATAAGGGGGGAGCGGGGAGGATTGGGTGTGGGGGCAGGGGGAGGATGGGAAGGGATGGGAAGGGGAAACAAAGGAGGAGGCTACAATGCTTGATAAGAAATGTACGCATTATCTTGCGCATGTAATTGTAACCCCTCTGTACAGTATTTTCACAATAAAAAAATTACTTTCCCACTTAACAATACATTTTAGGCTTGTTCTTAAAACTAAGAATTAAACTACTAAATGCCATGTTTATAAGGCATTAAGAGTATCTAGACACATGATAAAATGTTTACTTTCCAAATGTGTCATATTATAATAAAAATAGATAATGCAGTGGTTAAAGCTGGCAAATACTTTTGAGAACAACATTAAAGCTTACCTTCCTTCACTCTGAGCGCCTTCACACACACTGCTTTTCTCCCTCACGCTGCCTGCCCTGCTTTTCTTGTCCACCTGTTCCCCAGAGAGTTTGGAGCTGGACGCAGCTGGGGAAGCAGGTTCACCATGGTCCTGTTCCCTTAGTTTGGGGGTGCATGCTCTGTCAGTTCTCAGGTCTCTCATGGATGCCTCTGGGGAGGTCTGAATTTCTGTCAAAGTTTCTTGTCCTAAGTAATCATGGTCAGTGATGGCCACTGAAGAAGTGCCGTGATTTGCTGTGGCTCCTGTACTGGTTCCCATGGATTTGGAAATCACCTTCAGCTTATGTGAACTTGGTTTGTAGTGCTTCTTTTTGTGTTTCACTTTAGAATTGTGCTTTAAGAAAAACTCACATGACTCCTGCAGCACTCTTCGACTTTCACTGATGGGACTATAGGAAAATCCAAGGAGAATTTACTTAATACACTTCAACTATTACAGCAGAAGCCACAAAGGTTATCATGTGTCATTTGCCAAAAATTTTCACTCATTAAAGTTAGAAATCCTAAATGACGGATATCAGTTATAAAATCTGTAATTACAAATCTATGAAATATATGGATTTCAAAAAGTAAAATCTTCTGTATATGCTTTATTGGCCTTTGTCAACACAAATAGTAAACTGGTTAAGGAATTAAACAGAGTGATAAAGGAGGCAAGATTGATTGGAATTCACATGGGAAAACAGCACAAGAAGCTCCCTTCCTGCACAACTAATGCATACTAACTAAAAGAAAAAACCTCTCAAGGATAATTGTCAAGGAAGCTGAATTAAGACCATCCTTATATCCCATGTAAAAATAAAATTTCCATTTAATAAAAACTACACAAAGAAATTAAATAGTCAAAAATCAAAGATTGAAGGTAAGGAAATTCAAACCAACATGAAACAATGGACTGATTGTTTTTGTATTATATATAAATAAACCAAATATAAAAGTAAACCAGAAGAAAAGAGAATAGGGAACATAGTTAAAATAAACAGTCTGCTTTTTAACTTCACAGTTAACAAGTTGCAGTGACATAACTGTGGGTGTGCGGCAGGGGCAGGCATAGGGAAATACTGTAAACAAATAAAGCCCTGTTAAATGCAATTGTTCAGACTTCAAAAACTTACTAGTAAAAAGGTCTACAGCTGGGCACCAGTGGCTCACGCCTGTAATCCTAACTACTCAGGGGGCTAAACTCTGTGTATTGCAGTTCAAAGCCAGCCCCGCAGCAAAGTCTGTGAGGCTCTTATCTCCAATAAACCACCAGAAAACCAGAAGTGGTGTTGTGGTTCAAGTGATAAATTGCTTGCCTTGAGCTAAAGAGCTGAGGGACAGTGCCCAGGCCCAGAGTTCAAGGCCCATGGCCAAAAAAAAAAAAAAGGTCTACAGTTCTGAAAAAAAAAAAAATCTTTTTGATGAGGCTGGGAAGGTGGCTCAGTGGTAGAGCACTTGCCTTGCATGCATGAGGCCCTGGGTTCGATTCCTCAGCACCACATAAGCAAAAAGAAAAAAGCCGGAAGTGGCACTATGGCAGAGCGCTAGCCTTGAGCTGAAGAGCTGAGGGACAGCACCCAGGCCCAGAGTTCAGGACCGGACCCAAAAAAAAAAAATCTTTTTGAAACTGGAGCATTCGTTAATTGAACCAATAGGGAACAATTTCCCCAAACTATACAATGCATTATATACAATGTCTATAGCTAAAGCAAACCATTTACTAACACATGCATATCTATATTGTGAAATGGTATTCCATAATTTTGAGTTCTTACTCTTTTGTAAAAGCTATTGGTATTGGGATCTAATTATTAGAATAATGTCAGATAATGCAATAGGTTCTTACTCTCGTTTGCGATTTCGTTTGAAAAACCCAGCCCATTCTGCACAGGTTTTTTTGCTTCCAACCCAGAAGACAGCAGAGATGCCAACAATTAATGTCATCAGGTATTTTATCATAAATAAGGCCAGGTCTGGCCGAGCTTTTGTTTTTGCCTACAAACAAACAAACAAATAAACAATGACATATTCAAAATGTAAAGTCTACACTGTCAACTTGTTAAGCCAGAATAAAAACTATGCCTCTTCAATTTTATCACAAAAGGTTTGAAGTAATATAATAATACTTTAAGTGCAATATATTTTTCATCTAAGTTCTGAACAAAGAACCATTGTATAGGTGTCAAAATATATCTCTTCAAATAGACAAATAACGTATTTAAAAGCAATCTTCTAAACTGGGGTATGATTCCCTGGCCCGTTTTCTATCTTGTATGCAGAGCATTCTCTTGTAAAATCATTTCCTCTATTTACCTATTTTCCCCTTACTATAATCCACCACAAAGATCCACCCAAATTCATAACATATTTTACAGTATTTATGCATTCACTTGGATGACTAGAACAAAATAAATATTAGTGAAGTGGAAAAATGTAGAAATTTCATAAAAATTATAATGCTATTGCATCAAGCATAACCTTCAAATATTAGTTTTAAATGTGTATCATAATATTCCATGTCCTGCATGATAGCTCACTTTTTGCACTTATTAGCATTTCTGAGAGCATTCTAGATCAGTACAAGTAAGGCCTTTCTATCTTTTTAGCTTAAAACCTTTTATGAGTAAACCATAATGTACTCAATTATCTTTATTTAAAGATATTTAGAATACTCCCAACCTACTTCCATTTGCAAATAATGTTGTAGTGATTATGTAAAATAATTTCTAAGTTGATATACTGTAATGATAGTGCCCATGTTCAATATAGTAACATCATACCTCAGTATGGAAGAAAATGTACAAAAAGTATTATTATCATTACTACTGCTATCACTATTCTTTTGCAGTGGTAGAGACACAACTCAGAGCCTGCCATGTGCTAGGCAAGTGCCCTACCCTGGAGCTACATTCCCAGACCAATTGAAGCAACCTTCCTTCCTTCTTTCCTTCCTTCTCCTCCCTCCCTCCCTCTCCTTTCTTCCTTCCTTCCTTCTCCCTCCCTCCCTTCCTCTCCTTCCTTCCTTTCCTTCCTTCCTCCCTCCCTCTTTCCCTCCCTCTCTCCCTCCCTCTTCCTTCCTTTCCTTCCTTCCTCCCTCTCTCTTCCTTCTTCTTACTGAGTTACCCTGCCTGGCCTCAAACTTAGAATCCTCCTGCCTCAGCCTTTCTTCCTGCCTCAACCTTCCAAGCAACTGGGATTATAGGTAAACTGAACACTGCAGCCAACATTTAATTTTAGTTTTCTATTGAAAAACTCCACTAAAATGCTTTTAGAAAGTACATAGTTTCAGAAATTTATTTTTTCAAATCTTAAAAATACCACCTATATATTAATCTTAAGTATCAAACTTTTTTTCAACTGCTTTTTTAAGTTAAGAAATGAGAGAATGGGTTAGGCAAAGATGAAATTCTATTTTCATAAGCATGTACTGTTAAAATTATATAATATGATGAAATTAAATATACCTCAATATAGGGTTTTTCTACTAACTGAAGAAGTAAAACCAATCAATCCTTAACTCAGTAGAAATTACTTTCTTTTTCTTCCTCTGATGAGCCTATTCTTCTGGCTCTGTTCTCCCTTACTATTCACCTTGCCTTTGTAATTAAATTCGTGTGTCACTAATAGGACCTGAAGTCAGTGCTCTCCCTTGGCTTTGTTGCCCAAGAGTCTCTCAGTTTGTCTGTCTGGGATAATTTTGAACCAAGATCCTTAGATATCAGCCTCCAGAGTAGCTAGGATTATAGGCATGAACTACTAGCACTCAACTTTAATTTTGAAGAGAATGAGGCACTTTACTACTATGACTAAAACTTCAGCTGAAGGAGAAAACTTTTGGGACACTTCTGATATCTAATTTTCTGTCCATGATGAATACAAGTATATGCCTAGGAACACTTTCTATGTTAAAAGTGCATAGTAACAAAATCCAAATGATAGCTCTTACCTGATAAGGACATGGGATATGGTACTGGCGACAATGATCAGAGACCCAGGTTATTTCCCAGGTAAATCTGTTCACTAGCTCATAGATGTAACATCCAAGGAGTGTCACTAAGGGCACAAGGTATAGGCCACTGAAGACTCCAATTCGAATCATAAACTTCTTCAGTTTCTCTTGGTTCCGGCCATCATGCTGTATAACTTGGCGCACATGATTTAAGGAAATAATGCCAGCTAAAAGGAGAGACAGCCCCACAAACACACAGAGGCACAATGGCAAAAGCACAAAGTAGCGAGAAGCATCCAGGTCATAAAGGCCAATGAAGCACACTCCACTAATGTTGTCTCCTTCCACTTTGTTCATCGCAAGAAGCATAACAGTAAGAAAACCTGGAATTCCCCAGGCAACAGCATGAAACCACACTGCTTTTTGTTCAATGGCTTCACAACTCCATTTCCTTCCTGCAGCTAAGAACCAAGTGATGGTCAGAATCACCCACCACACAGTGCCAGCCATTGTGAAAAAATACAAAAACATAAATAATACACTGCAAGCCTTATTTTGAGATCCTAGGACAACCGTGTCACCAAGGTCCAGCTTTTCATCTGCCCTATTACAGGCAGTGCTGTTGCCCAGCAAAAATCCAATGAAGTACATAAGAGATACAATGCTGTAACAGACAGAGTAATATATAATTGGTCTTTCCGGGTATCTGAATCTTCTAACATCAATTAAGAAAGTAAGAAATGTAAAAAGAGTTGCACAAAGACAGAATATTGAAACTATTCCAATAAAACTTTTTGCAAAGTCTAGCTCATCACTTTGAAAATACATGTTGGGGCATGGGGGTGCACATTGTTCAATTCCCAGGAACTTATAGCCTTGTCCTCCAGAAGTCTTAAGATGCCTTGGACACCAAAATCCAATGTCTCTTTGTACTTGTTCCGTTTTCTTCTGAGGACCAAGCACTTCTGTGTGTGGGTCAGAAGTTACAGGAACAGTGTCATCACAATATTGCAATCTGTAAAGAGAACCAAAGAGTTAAATATACCAAGTCAACATTTTTTATTTGCTACTTAACCCTATGCTTTCTAACTATAAAGTATTTCCTTATGAATTCATAATTGACGGGAAGACATACAGTTCTACACAGCTTACAGGTTAGGATTCAGTAGAATGTTTTTAAACTGATCTAAAACTTGTGATGATCCATGATGCCTTATCATTCTAATAGATATTTAAATATACAAGGCAAGTAAATATGAAAATATACTACTGGGAAAACAAGCAGTCAAATAACAATTACTAACATGTTTTTAGAACTAGTTAAAACTTAAAATTTAGATGAATGGTTGTCTGAAAAAAAAGAGTACAGGCTTGCCTCTGTACAGCATATGAATTGTGTTTGAGAAATTTACTTTTTTTCATTTTGAAGTGTTGAGAACTGAACCTAAAGTTTAGCATTGCACTTTATAATTCTTTAATTATTATTTATTCCTTCTATCTCATGGGAGGGTAAGAGCTAGGTCTGTTTGTTGTTAATCATTGTGTCTGTAACACTCAATGCCATTATATTTGGCATATACTAACTGTGCAAAATACATTTGATGAATAAATAATAAAAGCCTGTTACTAAAATTCTGGAGAAATTAATTTATATCAAAATATCAGTTTTCAGTGAAAAACATAACTTACTTGTCACATTCAAGTTCCTCAGGCCATCTGATCCCAAATGTGTCAATTAAGTTTTTGCAATCAGAATATACTTTTTCACAAAATTTTCGACAAGGTGGAACCACATGAATTTGCTCTGTGCAAGTTGGTACAAAAGCTTCACAAAGGAATGTCTCAACATTTGGTGAACAATCCAGATTTGCAAGAGGAAGAAAATGCTGTTACACAAAAATAGAATGATAGTTAGAATACAGTTTAATCACAAATGAAGCAGGTGCCAGTGGCTCATCTAGTTATTTAGGAGGCTAAGATCTGAGAATCACATTTTGAAGCTAGCCAAGGCAGGAAAGTCTGTAAGACTATCTCCAATTAACTACTCAGAAAAAGCCAGAAGTGATGCAGTCGCTCAAGTGGTAGAGCACTAGCCTTGACCAAAAGAAGCTCAGGAACAGAGCCCAGGCCTACAGTTTAAGCCCTAGGACTGGCAAAAAAGCAAAAAAAAAAAAAAAGAAAGAAAGAAAGAAAGAAAGAAAGAAACTAATTTCCCATTTACTTTTTCATGGATACCCCCAAAACAGTCTTTAAATCTCTCTCTTTTTTTTGGTCAGACATAAGGCTTGAACTCAGAGCCTGGGCACTGTCTCTGAGCTCTTTTGCTCAAAGCTTGCACTCTACCACTTTAAGACACAGCGCCACTTGTAGTTTTCTGGTTGTTAATTGGAGATACAGTCTCATTAACTTTCCTGTCTGGGCTGGCTTTGAGCTGCAATCCTCACATCTCAGCTTCCAGAGTAGCTAGAATTAGAGGTGTGAGCCACCAGAGCCCAGCTTTAAATCTCCTTTTAAGTACATTTAAAACTTAACTGTTGAGTTCAAGAATGAACTTTCTTACAGGGCAAATATGTTTAATTCTTCTAGAATGCCAACACTGGTTAATCTAATAATGTTGATGTTCCTGTGCAGTGCAGAGGATAAATCAATTGTTAAAGACTCAAGTGCCTTTGGACACCACGCAGGTAAATGCAAAGGGAGTACCTGGGAGCAACTGTCACTCAGCTCTAGCAGCCTGTCTTTTGGAAATGTGAGAACAGAACTAACTGTCAGATATATCCATTTTCCCAAGAAAACAGTTCTTGAATTTTGTGTGAAATCTCTCAAATCTTGGATTTTTCTAGGGGGTGGGGTTGTACTAGGGTTTGGACCCAGGGCCTTTGAACTGCTGAAATACTCTACCACTTGAACCCTGCTCTCAAATATTTTTGCTTTATTTTTCAGGTGGGGGTTTCATACTTTGTTTGAGCTGACCTCAGACCTCAATCCTCCTACCTATGCCTCCCAACTACTTGCGATTACACATATGAACTCCTTTTATATTCAGCTTGTTCTATGAGGTAGGAACCACTTCATCTCTCTGCCCCCCTTCCATTCCAACTGGCTTTGAACAGTAGACCTCCTAGCTCTTCCTTCCAAATAGAGGGGTTACAGGTATGAGTCATTGTGCCCAGTCAGATTTTGGTACTTTATATACTTAAACACCACGCAGAACAAACACAACAACAAAACATCATGGGGACAGAGTTAGTGGAGCTGCCACTTTTGTTGTAGGCTAAGACACAAGAGCATTTCAGACTTGGGAGGGATCTGAAAGAACCTTAAAGTCAATTGTTCTCAAAGTATCTGTGTGAACGTGTGTTCATATCTTGCTTGCCAAGAAGCATTTCTTTAAATGAGAAGTTACAAAGAAGCCTGATATATCAAATAAATAAAGGCCCAGCTGTCTGGCTGAGAAGGAAACCCTCCCTGCTAAGATGTCTCAGTTTTCCCCTTTGCCAGTGACCTCAAAGCACCTCCAGCCTTCACAGATTGAAAATCACTGCCCTAGTCCAAATCTCAGATCACAGTGAGAAAACTAAAGCCAATTTCTTATGGAAATTATTATTGAAATTCCACAATCTACTCTGGCTAGAATTGAGTTCTTATTCCTGATCTCAGACTTTAGCAAAACAATGGCTACTTGTAACAAATCTATGCTCTCATTTATTCAGCGCTTAGAAGCTAGGCACTGACCTTTTCCACATAGTACCTAGGCATTGAAAGCTGTTATCTCTACCCCACAGATGAAGGAAGGGCCCCAGGAGTCAAGAAAAAAGCACTAAGTAGCAGGAGTTGTCTAAATCCCCTCCACATGGCTCTAGAGTACATATGAATCCCCAGCCTTTATACTGTATAGTGTGCAACCTATTCTCCCTGAGAACTACCCTTGCCCAGATACAAGGACAAAATGCCAGCAAAAATGAAGGGGTGGAAAAAAAATTCACAAGTCACTTTATCAAAGATTCAAGCTGTGCTTATCATTCTACATCACGCTATACTTCCCAAAGCAGAGATATGTGGGGACTCATTTAGAAGCAAAAAAATATGGGCCAGACTACTACTGAATTCAATATGCCAATTTAGTATACTAGTCAGTTAATCAACACAAACAGGATGAAAATATTTCCTCAGTCTCTTAAAGTAAAATTCTTGATAGGAATCAATGTTCTTCCAAAAAATGTCTAGGCACCATTTTTAGAAGCCAAATCTCAAGATGTAAAGACTACTAACATAACTGGTTATAATCATTCTTCTTTTTTTTTTGGTCTGGTCGTGGGGCCTGAACTCTGGGCCTGGGCACTGTCCCTCAGCTCTTCAGCTCAAGGCTAGCGCTCTACCACTTGAGCCACAGTGCCACTTCCGGCTTTTTTCTTTTTGCTTATGTGGTGCTGAGGAATCGAACCCAGGGCCTCATGCATGCAAGGCAAGCACTCTACCACTGAGCCACCTTCCCAGCCCCTATAATCATTCTTCTGTCTAGTTTTATATTCTGAAATCTGTCATAATATTACACTAGGATTGAGCACATTAAGTGCTGTCTAAACTTATAAACTAAGAAAATATTCAAACTCCTTGGTCTCTTTAGTCTATCCTCCTCCCCCACTTCCTGATACGAGAGGTGCTGTATGTTTTTTTTTAATGTTTTAGCCATACCAGGCACCAGTGGCTCACACCTGTAATCCTAGCTTACCAGGATGCTGAGATCTGAGGATCATGGTTTGAAGCCAGCCCAGGCAGGAAAGTCTCCAATTAACCACCAAAAAGCCATTAGTACAGCTGTGGTCAAGTGGTACATACAGTACTTTCCTTAAGCAAAAGAGCTCAGGGTCAGACCCTGAGTTCAAGCCCCAGGACTGACACACACACAAAGTGTTTGTTTTTAAAAACAACATTTATATATACATACATATACACATACACATACACACACACACACACACACACACACACAAACACACATGTGCCTAAGCAGAGATATCTTGGCAGTGCCTTGTCTTTCTTAGTACTGAAGACACAGGATATGTAAACACCTCTCCCATTTATGAAGCATGAATCAGAATCCCAATGGAACATGGAACCAAGGCAAGAAACTGTATTTGATCCTCAAATCAGGATTTATGCTTTCTACTGCTGCCATTTACCCAGTAACTTGCATGGAATGATAAATGTTTTACTTCCTGATTTACTATAACATGAAGAAGGAAGCTCTGTTCTAGTGATAGTGATAGAAATCAAGAAAATCAAGGAAAATCAAGAAATTTGAAAAGTGAATAAAAATTGTGGTCAACTTGAGCAACAGACTCAATAAAATGTAAAAGATCCTAGAATGTTCTCTATTACACTTCACAGAACAAATACTATCAAAGTATTTCTAAAATCCAGAGTAACTTCTTTAAGAAGTCAATGGACTGCTGTTGCTTACTTTCATGAATATACTCTACCTTGGGCAAGTCATCTTGGAAAGTACGATGGGTGACAATGTTGTCAGACACCTTGTACTCACATACTGTTTTGCAGAATGGGAACTTCTTTGTACAACTACTTAACCATATAATAATAAACAATGTAAAGAAAAAAAGGAAAGTAGGGCCTAAGAAGAATAAAAAAACAGAATTTGCATCATTTCCATAATGAAGACCTGCAATTTAATAGAAACATTTCTTGACATGGAGCATCAGCAATTTTAAATTATTTCTACAAAAGAGCTTTCCTTAGAAATTAGAGAAATGTAATTATTAATTGGTTGGTATTGCAAATCAATTTTAACTTAAAACTTCAAATATTTGTAAAAAGAATTGTAAAGAGTTACAATTCTGAGGAAACTACATATCATTACATGTTCATCAAAGGTTAATGAACATATGACAAATATACATGATAGAAGTAGTAAGGTTTTGTGGCACATTTTCAATGAGAGGAAACAATCACCAACACAATACATTTATCTTCCTGTGGTCTGATGAACCTTGGGAACATGCCTTCTCCCAAGGGCATGACAATTGATATACTACTCCATGGAATTCCAAGGAACGAGAGAGAAAGTCTACCAGCACAGTGTCTCCAGAAGAAGCAATCAGGGTACTTTCCCTGCAAGTATAACTCAACATCACCAAGGAAGGTAATCGTGTGGTTCTAAACAGAAAAAACAACAGTAGCCATTATATACACTGCTGATTAGAATGCTTTTTGGTATTTATTTTGCTGCATCTGACTAATATTTTACTTTAAGAATAGCTATAGCCAGGCTATATGATATTCTGTGAAAAACAAAGAGTCGCATGAAGCATGTCCTCTCCCAACACACCATGAACAGGATAGAGAACGAGCAGGAAGGGAGGTTATCTGATAGTGAGACAGGCTCCACTACATTCTTCTAATCAGAAAAATGAAAACTTTTAAATATCACTGCACAATAGTCATAATTTTTTAAGAAGATCCAGTTTCCCTCCATTCCTTTATTCCTTATTTAAACAGGGACATTTCAATAGTTCATATTAGGGGAAAGGAAAGGATTTATGGCTCACTTCCTTTAGACTGTTTAAAAGTGGAATGCCACATACTGTTCCAAACACAATACAGGACTTTGCTTTTGCCTGGACCTCAGTGAAGGCAATTCAAAATAAAAAATACAATATTCCTGTTTCCATTTTCCCTAGATCAGTCTTCTGGATGAAATCAGTCTCTCAAGGGATGTCAACCTCACAACCAGAGAAACAATGCTCTAGATAGGAAACAAAAGGAACACAATGGAAAACCAGCAGCCAATTGTTTTTCCAATTAGGAGTTACACTGTGCAATATCCTTTTCATGACAAAGGCAAGTAACTATTTAAAGTCAGAAATTA